GTTACAAATAGACATATTTGATATATGGTTCAAAATTCGCAAATCATTACGATAAAACATAAACGTCAATCAACCGTTTATGTCCATAAAGAATTTAGCTATCTTGTATGCTTTATTCATATGTTTCCTAAACCGATTCACGTTTAACCTCACATCTTGTTCTTTCAAATACACATTCATTTTAGTCAAATTCCAATCCATTCCTCTAAAAGCTATAGGATCTTTCAAAACCAAATCATCTCTATCATATTTCTCTACCAAACTACTCTCTCCCACATTTACCGGTTACTCAATATACTCTAACTTCATTGCCTTAGCCGGCGATTCGAAGCACGTTTTAGCCACCCAACCTAGTCCAACCGGAACCACCTGAACCAACACCGAACCGGGTCTAAGAAACAACAAGTGGGTTAATGCTGCACCATGAACCCCAACCATCCCGTGGCTTGACTTTATGAGTTTATACGCTTCTCTCAAACTCGTCGTTTTTGATGGTCTAAATATGATTACCTCGAATCCAACATCTTCAAGCATCTCTTTAATCTCTTTCTCGTTTAATACCACTCGACCACTGTTACCATATCGACTTACCAATATGAGACGAGGCTTATGGGTTTTGATCAAAGTAAATAGGTTTGTGTTGAAGGCTTTGTCTAATAGGTTGTGGAAGTCCACTAATGATTTGTGGAGTTAGGCATTCGGGTCGGGTCTATTGTCATGGGCCCATGTGAAATTAGGCCCACAGTGGCTGAAGTGAAACAATGTGTAATAGAATCATCGATGTATTTCGGCATCCACCACTCTTTAGGGTTTGTTACCACGAGTACGATATCTCGGTCGGGGAATACCATGTTGGCTGTAATGAAAAGCGGAATGAAACCGTCTATGAAGTCATGATAGATGCTTCCGGTGTAACCTCCGGCGCTGAACACAGTCGTCGGCGAATCATGTGTTATGTCACATGATCGAGTCATGCCCATTGGGCTAGAGGTTAGTGTTAGCTCTTTGATTTTAGGCATGATCCACTTATCTGTTTTTCTTGGGTATGGTCTGATTTTCTCGACAGGTGTTGCTGATGTGGTGAATGTGGGGTCCAAAATAGTGATAGTTCCGGTTCTTGGGTCTAGAGCACATGAGCCACTGATTGAGCAAAGATCGTAGTTAGTGTCGGATCGGTCACATGTGATTGTTGCTGATGAAGTCATCTCTTGTTGGGTCTGCTCGATTCTTATGAACTTCCATGCTTGTTGTAACGTGCCTATAGAGGAAACTTCCTTTTTTAATCAAAGGATAAAAATAGTAACATTTATTTGTATTCGATTTTACAATTGAAACATTATGGTTTTTTTTTTTTTCTATAATGTCAACCGCCAGGTAATGAAAAGAGATCTGTTTATTTTTCCCGACATTTATGGTTGTCATTTCTTTTGAATCGTTTTTTAAAATCAAAATCCAGTTTAATTTATTCAAAAGTAACAAAAGATAGTGATTAATGAGAAAAAGATAAATAGTGCCAAGTCAAATAAAATAAAACACTGTAGAGACTACAGAAATATTGAAAATAGAAGCCAAGTGTGGAGCCTGAATATTAAAAGATCAAAAGAAAATTATTTTTTAAAATCCTTCTTCCTCTACGAAGATTTTTAAGTGTCGACAAAAAAAAAGGACTTTTATTAAGTAATAAACAAAATTATCATTTGTCCGAGACTGACACAAAATTTAACTCTCATTATTGTTGGTAATACTTGTAGATCTCTTCTCCGTATTAACTACGTACGAAAAAACAAAAATCTGATCCGATCAACACATCATATTATTTTGAATTTTTTGGATTAGTGTTATTATCTTCGTGGTAGCATTCGAAATTGAATACAGTAAAGTATATGTGAGTTATTAATTAACAAATTAACAAAACAAACTAATTATTTTCATAAAGAGACAATTAATATATTATTATTTCCTAAGAAAAAGGTTTGATCACACTTTTTAAAGAAGAAGTTTGATATCTGCATACCTTGAGCGAAACTTAGCTAATAAATCAACTGAAGATCGGACACGAAGGAGAAGAGAGCAAGATACATAACCAGAACGATGACCATGGCAATTACGGCTGCAACTGAAAAACTCTTCGACGTCGTTTTCATAACCATAATGATTGATTGGTGTTGTAAAAAGTATATCGAGCTCTTTATGCATATTTGTATGATTGTATATAAATTAAAGTTAATAAATATCACCCCTTGAAGCTTTAAGAATCCTTCAATGGAAGTGAAAAGAAGAATTTTATGTTGGTAAGACTTTTAGTGGGTGAAGAAGACTCACAAATTGCAAACAAGAGCGTGTTGTGTATATATATATAATTGATAATTCTATCATGAAGACTTTAATTGTGCAACTACTCGTGACCTAATGTACATGAAAAAGCGGTATGTGCATAAAATAAAGAACATATAGAGTTTTTTCACGAGGTTCGGTTTTTCCTACATCTCTGGGACCTAATCCAGAATAAATCCATTAGAAAAGGCCGCAACCTACAATTGCTATATAACATACCACCACTCTTTTCTACAGGGACAAACTTTGAAGATAGGTAAGCTCGCATGCTTGACAACCAACCAGCAGCACCGGTGCAACACCGTCTTCTCAACGGCTTCAATCTTCATAGAAAAACCACCATCAATATGGTGGGGTGACGCCACACACACATGTGTGCATCTCACAAAGGAATCCTAGGTGCGTAACTTTTTTTGTCAACGCCTCTTGCCTTTTATACTACCACCATGAAACCCTCACGTTTCATGTCATGTGGGCTTTTAACCTCTATCATTATTGGGCTTTCTAATTCAATAAGAGTCAAATCTCATTTTTCTCCACGTGTTGGAACAGCTTTGCATGTGTTCCAGCAACTCGTATTATGTTCCTCCAAAAACCTCTCTTTTATTCTCCCCCTTTTTGACTGAATGTGTGCATCCAAACTCATCTTCAAACTCTCGAGATTCAGCATCGACTCCCCCCTCAGTGGTAGCATCAATACTTTCTTGATACTCACTTCTTGAAGCTTTTCATTGGGATTTGTTGGAGATACATCGGCACATTAATCTCCCCTATCTTGGTTAACACATTCATTCAAAACCTCTCAAGAAAATCAAGGAACAAGGACGTACATCACACTCTCCTTCTGTGAAAACCAATTTTTTTTTTAAATCAACCTCTGTTCTTGGCCATGTTCCAATAGTATATTTCATGTTCCAACATCTGTTCCAGCAGTTCTTCTGCAAACTTGATCAATTTCTTCGTTAGAGAGAAACATCCATAACTCTCGGATTTCACATCAGAATTGAGTTTCGTTTTTTCCTCTGGAAAGCTGACTTTGTTATCTTTGCAACGGTGTCAAGATCGATTTTTGGTTTGTTCTGGTCTGCCAGAAAAATAGCTCGAAAGTGGTTGGTCGCAGCTCATATTTCGCTTTCTCTTCAGTTCTCCTTCTCTTCCATACCCAAGTTACTCCTTCTATCACATCCTTTGAATCTCTTTGGCTATATCAGAAGCAATTTGATCTCTCTCTCTCATGCTCGTTTTCAAGCCCATAAACTTCAATCTTCTTCTTCGTTAACATGAACCATGATAAAACCCTAATCTCATACTTTGCTCTTCAATCCTAACCACCAAAACCGAATCCCAAATCAACCCCAAAAATAATAATAGATCTCTATCGAGTCCCGCTCTAATACCAATTGAAAAAGTGGTTTGTGGCTAGATCTCTACGGTTGTGTTTGTAACGAGTATGTATGAGCATAAAATAAAGAACACATAGAGTTTTTTCACGAAGTTTGGTTTTTCCTACATCCCCGGGACCTAGTCCAGAATCAATCAATTAGAAAAGGTCGTAACCTACAATTGCTATATGGCATACCACCACTTTTTTCTACATGGACAAACTATGAAGATAGATATCAAGCTCGCAACCAATCAGCAGCACCGGTGCAACACCGTCTTCTCAACGGCTTCAATCTTCATAGAAAAACCACCATCAATATGGTGGGACGACGCCACACACACATGTGTGCATCTCACAAAGGAACCCTAGGTGCGTAAATCTTTTTGTCAACGCCTCTTGCCTTTTATACTATCACCACGAAACCCTCACGTTTCATGTCATGTGGACTTTTAACCTCTATTATTATTGGGCTTTCTAATTCAATAAGAGCCCAATCTCACTTTTCTCCACATGTTGGAACAGCTCCGCATGTGTTCCAGCAGCTCGTATTATGTTCCTCGAGAAACCTCTCTTTCAGTACAAGCATGGGTCAGTGACTCAGTGCTTTAGCATCCATTGATCGCATAGTTCCGCCG